GTACTATTAAGGAACCTTGTATATTCAGTCACAACTCTTGATTTAGCTCAGTATTGTATTATTTTGAATACTTTGGGAGCTCCCCATACTTGTAACTCATTTGTTTTGATTTTTATTATTATTTCTATGGGTGATTTTCCATAGAATTGACATTCAATTATTTTTATAAAAAAAAAATTGGGTTAGCCACTTAGGTGGTCTTAGGTGACATTGTGATCTAGTGATCTTCGGGTTGGATTGGATTAGGGTCTTATAAGAGGATTATATAAAATCCTATTGAAAGTTCTCTCAAGGCGGCTCAGGGCTTGTATTGAATTGATTACCAGTAATACATAGTTTGTCTTTATCACGGGAAGACATATTTTGGATTGTTCTTTCATTGCAAACGAAGGGATAGATGATCTACGTAGAAGAGGCTTGAAGGGGGGTAGTTTTCATAATAAACTTCAAGAAGGCTTATGATTTGGTAGATTGGCAGCTCTTGTTAAGAGTAATGAAGGAGATGGGCTTTGGGGATAGATGTATATAATGGATTTCTAAATGTATTTCTACTGCTTGGTTGTCTATTCCTGTAAATGGTGTTCCAACAGAAAACTTTCCTATGGTAAGAGGGCTTAGACAAGGATTCTTTATCTCATTTGTTATTAATATTGTTGGAGAGATTTTAAACCTGATTCAAAGAAGGCAGTGGAAGTGGGGCTGTTTAGTGGCTTCCTAATCGGTAAAAGGAGTCAATAATGCTTTTGCATCTCTAATTTGCCAATGACTTGATCATATTTTGTAATGCCTCTTTAGGACAAGTCAAAAACTTAAAAATCCTTCAAGTCTTTGAGTTAGCCTCGGGTCTGTAGCTAAATTTAGGCAAAAGCAAATTGTTTGGGATTAATTTAGAAGACTCTGTCCTGGAAGAATGGACAGCATCAGTTGGTTGTTTAGCAGGTGTTTCCCAACAATACCTTGGCTTACCTTAGGTAAATAAAATTCTTATGCATTTTAGGAACCCATTATCCAAAAGGTTCATCATAGGCTAGCCATCTAGAAGTCAAACTTGTTATCAATTGATGGGAGATTGATTATTATTAAGTCTGCCCTGATTTCTTTACCCATTTACTATCTTTCTTTGTTTAGGATGCCAGCAGTAGTTTATAAGAAACTAAACTCGTTGATGGTAAATTTCTTATGGAAAGGCTATGATGAAAGAAGGAGCATCCACTGGATATGATGATCCTCTGTGAGTCTCCCAAAGGACAAGGGTGAGTTAGGGATTCCATATCTTGATTTCCTCTATCGCGTTCTTCTAGGCAAATGGTGTGGAAGTGTGCAAGTGGAGGCGATAACATGTGGAAGGGAGTAATTTTTTTTAAAATATAACTAGGACGGAGGGATCATCCTACCAAAAAAAACGATTGTCTTTCCAAGTGTATTGGCTTTGGAGGAATGTCCTAAACTCTTCTTATGAGGAAGACAAGATTGATTGTTGCCTTACGAAAAACTTTAAATTCCAAGCTGAGAAAGGTGATTCTATATGTTTTGGTGGGACTTATGACTGGTAGACTTACCGCTGAAAGAGAAATTTCCCAGTATTTATGCTTTTTCTTGGAACAAAAATGGAAGAATTTATGAGTTTGGAACTAAAAACAGGTGGAGTTGGGAATGGTGTATTCCTCTGCGCAGGAGACTCCATGATTGTGAATTAGCTCAATGGGAAGACCTTATTAGTTTGTTGAGTAACTTTAGATCAAGTGAAGTTGTGGTTGACTGGTTATCGTGGTCTAGAAATGAGAAAGGAGTTATTCTATTAAGTATGTTGGAGCCGTCTTGCACAAACCAAAGAAAGACCTCTTCGAATGGACTAAGATAATCTGGTTTGGGCTTGCCCCACCTAGGGTTGAGATTTTTGTATGGCTAGTAGTTAACGGGGAAAATGACTGTTAAATCTGAATTGTTGAAGAAATGTGCCAAGGCAATTTCGAATTCTTCATGTCCTTTATGTAAAGCTGATATATAAACAAATTATCATCTTTTATTAGGGTGCAAGGTGGCAAGGGAGGTATGGTGTCATTTCCTTAAACTCGGGAAATTCTTGACTGTTTCCCATGTGATATCCCTACCTTTCTAGCCTCTTGGCAGTATGCCACACATGCTCAGGCCTCAAGTTCGGTATAGAGGTTTGTTCCATTTGCTGTTTTGTGGACCTTATGGAGATTTTGGAATGACATGGTTTTCAACAACTGCCCTTTGGATATTGTGCAAATTGTGTTTCTTTCGAAATGCAGATTGGTTTCCTGGTTCAAGTACACTTCCCTCCGCTTTTTATCCCTTTCGACAATCTTGTTAGTGATCCCTCAATGGTGATACATTGTCCTTTCCCTTTTTCCTGCTCCGGACAAAGTTGGTTGGCAACCACCTCCATATGGATCTTAAAAGTCAATGTAGATGGAGTTATGAATAGCTCTTGGAGTTGTGGAGGTATTGGAGGTCTTATTTGTGATCAGGAAGACAACTGTTTAACCTCGTTTTCTAAAGCAATAGGCCAAGGTCCTCTAGTTTAGGCGGAACTTTTAGCCATCAAACATGGAGTTTCTTGCTCTTGAAGTTAGAGATTAACCTAAAAACCAAATTGATTGTAGAGTGTGATTGTAAAACTACTTTGGATTGGGTGAAGGACCCTCTTTTTGTCATGGTTTATTCTCGAATCTAGTTAGAGATATTGCAGATGTTTTTAGAGCTCGGGAATAGTTCTTAGCCTTGTCAGGAGAGGGACTACCACTAAGCAGCGAGTTAGCAAAGCAGGGGATTAGATAGAAGTTCGGTTTTATAAGAGCTTGGTTGTATCTTAGTTCCTGGTTGAGTTAGTGTCTCTTATATTTGCAAACAGGGATGTTCTAGTTTATTTTGTATTTTTTTACTTTGTATTAGGTTTCTGTTGGAATAAAATTACGAGACACTTTCCCTCCCACTATCGATTGGAATACTTTTGTATTCCGAGAAGTATGAAGGGGGGAGGCCTCCAATTCTTATAAAAAAATCTAAATTAGATTGGACTCTGAAAGGGGAGAGGAATACCAAATTTTTCATATCACCACTATGATAGAAGAAAACGCAACAAAGTTTCTGGTTTAGTTATTGATAATAAGTGGTGCTCGGATAAAGAAACTTTTAAACAAACATGTTGTCGAGTTAAACAACAAGTTATTTGAACAGAAGGATGTAGGTGATATTGAGGAACCTTATGCGAAATTTAAACCTTCTATAAAAGGAGAGGAAAAGACGACCTTAACTAGAGAAGTCTCTATTGACGAAGTGAAAGCTGTAGTTTTTTTTCAATGAAAAGCTTAAAAGCCTCTGGACCGAACGAAATTCAACCTATCATTTACAAAAATAATTGGGATACTGTCAAGGATACATTACTGGTGCTTATCCCGAAGACGGAAGTGGCTAACAGTTTGATTTTATACAGGGCCATAAGCCTTTCTAGTACCTCATACAAAGTTATGACTAAAACCCTTGTTCATCTAATCCGACCTATTTTACAAAGGATCATAGGACCCTACCAAAACAACTTTCTACCAGGAATGGGCCATCGGATAATATTTTAATGGTTCAGGAAGTGGTGCGTACCCTTACGAATTTTAAAGGGAGAAAAGGGATGACTATTATGAAGATTGACCTCAAAAAGCTTACGATAAGGTGAATTAGAGTTTTCTTAAAATACTCTTCAAAAGTTTGACTTCCTCGAAGGAATCACCAATATTATCATGTTCTCCATACAATCCAACAGCATAAATCCCTTATAGAATGGAGGGAGAAATAATACTTCATTATAGGACATGGCCTAAAAACAGGGAGATTCTTTATCCCCGTACTTGTTTATTCTTGTTATGAAACGTTTCTTACATTTGTTTTAGAAAAAGTTGACATGGGAAGTGGGAAAGCCATCAAATTTTCAAGAGGAACTAACATTAGTCACCTATTCTTTGCAGATGACCTTTTATTATTCCTTGAAGCTAACGTGGATCAGGTCGTTGAAGTTCGCGAGTGCTTAAAGAATTCTTTCGGGCTTCGAGGCTCGAAGTTAACCTTAAAAAATCAAAGATGTTCATATCCCGCAATGTGAATGAGGAGACTGCAAATCACATCAGTCAACTAAGTGAAATCCCTAGAACAGACAACTTAGGTGTCTACTTTGGAGTTCCCATCATACATAAAAGACCGAACTTCGGAACTTATGCTCTAATAATTGAGAAAATAATAAGTTAGCAGGTTGGAAAGGAAAAGTTCTTTCACCAGCAGGACGACGAACACTTATCCAGTTGGTCACAACAGCAACATCAATCCATACAATCCAGATGACCATATTTCCAAACGCAACATGTAGCAAGTTGGATAACATCAATCGTAATTTCCTTTAGGGCGGTGTATCCGAGTATTCTAAAAACCACCTTGTGAGCTGGGATGTTGTGTCGATCTAAGATAATAGGAGGCTTGGGAATGCGGGAAACAAGACTCACGAACCTTGCGTTGATGGCAAAAATGGTTGGAGAATGTTTAAAGAAAATGATATATTATGGGGCAAAATTTTTAGAGAAAAGTATCTGAAACAAACGGAATTCCTGAACGTGGAAAAGCGAGGCAATAGCTCGTCCAGTTGAGGAGGGATTTTGAAAACCCGAGACTTTGGGGATTACGGAAAGGTAGAAATGCTCAAATCTTCAACAATGGCGACAGAAATGTAAACCAAATCAAACAATACAATATAAAATTAGCCAGGAACATCAAAACAACGTTGGAGAACTCACATACCAGAAGTACAAAGGAACCAAGGTGGGTTAAATGGAGAAGACCACCAAAGGGCTGTTGGATTATGAACTCGGACGATGCCTACAAAACAAATACCGAATACGCGACGACGGGAGACCTTATTAGAGACGAGGAGAATTGAATTGAACATTATTCAACTGATGATCAACTCGCTCTATAAACGCCCCTAAAACCAACAATTATCTGAAAGATTGAAGCAGTTTTATTTTTTCATTTAAAACAGCAGAACATTTATTAGTAGTCGTAGAATGAAGCAACCATAGAGCAAAATCACCAGCCAATTCTCTTGCAAAGCTTATAGCCAGATAAGATAGCACAGACTGCCATAACTATAAATGTTGCGAAGGCCATGCTGGTCGATACAACGGCTCCCTTCCGAAGTGGTGTGCCTCGCTCAACCAGTCCAATGATCGGCACCGCCACTGAAGCCGATGACACGAGAAGATAACCACCAAACTGTTTACATAGCAACCCATACATTAGCAAGTGAAAGTAGTAGAGATAGAAGACGGCGGATTGCACTTGCCTGGTCGAGGAAGAAGCTTACGTAGTCCAAGGCCATATCTGAGATCAGAATGCCTCTGTGAGCAATGTCACAAACGCCTTTAAACAGTTGTAAAGCCGTGTATAGGAAAGCTATGGCTACGATGAAGCAGTATCTGTACACCAACACAAACAATCAACAATCTGCGGTGATTGAAATGTCATGTTGTAATCTTGTGAGTAATTAAGGGCAAAATTATGTTGTGCTTACATTAATTCAGGGTAGTCAGTGAAGCTAGGAGATGGTTGGTGTTTCTTCTTTGTAGAAGGGGCAGCGAGTATGAGAGCCGAGATAAAGGAGAAGAGAAGCACCGAGAACCGAAGGAGGAGAGTCGAGTGATGATGTATGGAAGATCTGGAGCTCCACCCTGTAGAAGCCACCGAGAAAGAGAACGGTGAAGGGGTTGGAAATGGCTGCTGCTGCTGAATCTGAGAATTGAATGCCACAGGGGAATCAGCAGGCGTGATCCTACGAGCAATCGCCAAAACAAATTCTCTTTCATCTTTCACTGCTTCCTCTATCTTCTCCATTCTTCAGTTGAGAAACTCTCTGAAGCCTGCTTGTTCTGGTTAATATTTGGGACTCTTTGAATTTTTTTTTTCTCTGAGTTGAATTTTGTGAATATGGTGATCCTTCACAAACAAGTTGTTGACTTGTTTATGGGATTTTCATAGAAACCGTTAAAAGTTTCAAAGTTTGGCAATCAACTTTGGAAAATGGTTTTTTTAAAGTTTGGTAAATGTTTCTTTGAAAAATGTTTTTCAAAGTTTGGTAAAATTTTGGTAGATGTTTGTTAAAAATAGGAATGGGTAAATTCACTTTAGTCATTGCACTTTAGGGTATTTTCAAAGATTAGTCCCTAAGTTTCTACTATAATACCCTTACCCATTTAGCTTCAAAATCATCCCAAAACATTTCTTTCTTCCTATACTAGAGAGCTTTCTTGTGAGTAGTGAGTGTTTTGTAAACACCTGTAAATTTTCTCTCTTAGTAAAAGATCTGCAGCAGCCCGGAGACGTAAGCACAATTGGCTGAACTCCGTTATCAATTTTCGGGTATTATTTTTCCGCTTTTATTTCGCATTCTCACTAATCTGGTTATAGGGAAATTACTTGTACTCGGTTTATTTTCCTAACAACTGGTAATCAGAGCTTTTGGTTGTGAATTTTGTCAAATTTTCTGTGAGGTTACTATTCATTACTATTCACGTGAATAGTGAATTTCGTGAATAGTGAAATTCGGTCGGCGATACGAGTTTGTTGACGGTGGTGTTCTAAACACGGTGATTCGCAAGAATTGTCAGAAACGATCCAACGAAGCCAGATTCGAGTGGGAGCGATGGCTGCAGACGAAGGGAAGGTGAAAATTGAAAAGTTCGATGGTGCGGACTTTGGCTTTTGGAAGATGCAGATTGAAGATTTTTTGTACCAGAAAAATCTATATCAACCTCTCTCAGGAAAGCAACCAGAGGGCATGAAGGATGAAGATTGGGCTCTTCTCGACAGACAAGCCCTCGGAGTTATCCGACTGACGTTATCCCGCAATGTTGCTTTTAACATAGCAAAGGAAAAGACACGGCGGGTCTTATGGCTCTCTCCAGTATGTACGAGAAGCCATCGGCCTCAAACAAAGTTCATTTGATGAGGCGATTATTAAATTTACGGATGGCGGAAGGGGCATCGGTGGCACAACACCTAAATGAACTCAACACAATCACAACCCAGTTGAGTTCAGTGGAAATTGAGTTCGATGATGAAGTTCGAGCTTTAATTCTCTTATCATCTCTACCAGACAGTTGGAATGTTACTGTTACAGCAGTCAGCAGTTCGTCGGGAAATCAAATTAAAATTCGACGATGTTCGGGATCTGGTATTGAGTGAAGAAATTCGACGAAGAGAATCGGGTGAAGCATCAACCTCCTCAGCCTTACACACGGAGTCTAGAGGGAGAACTTCAGAAAGAAATTCAAATCGTGGCAGATCAAAATCTAGAAGGGGCAATCAAGAACAGGAAATAAAGATTTTACTGTTAATTGCGGCAAAAAGGGTCACTTCAAAAGAGATTGCCGAGCACCGAAGAAAAATACCGGCGCACAGGAATCTGCCAACATGACGGAGGAGACAGGTGATGCCATGATTTTAAGCGTCAACAGTCCGATTGAATCATGGATCTTGGATTCAGGGGCATCTTTCCACTCCACCCCATGCCGAGAAATCATGGAGAACTATGTCAGTGGTGATTTTGGGAAGGTTCATCTAGCTGATGATGAAACCTTGAAGATCGTCGGAAAAGGAGACATCCGACTAAAGCTGCCAAACCAGACCACCTGGAAGCTGACAGGAGTGAGACATATTCCTAGCCTCAAAAGAAATCTGATTTCTGTTGGGCAGCTTGATGGAGAAGGATATAGTACAACTTTTTCAGGCTGTGAATGGAAGATTACCAAAGGAGCACTCGTCATTGCTCGTGGTAAGAAGACCGGTACTCTATGTAACCTCAAATTTAGAGAATATCATTGCAGTAGCAGATGCTGATGGAAAATCAAACCTATGGCACCAAAGGCTCGGCCATATGAGCGAGAAAGGAATGAAGATACTTCTGTCAAAAGGGAAGCTGCCGGATCTAAAGAATGTAGATGTCGGACTATGCGAGGATTGCATCTTTGGAAAACAAAAGAAAGTCAGTTTTACAAAGATTGGCAAGACTCCCAAGGCAGAAAGGTTAGAATTGGTTCATACTGATGTATGGGGACCATCCCCTGTTCCATCTCTTGCAGGCTCACTATATTATGTCACCTTCATCGATGATTCAACAAGGAAGGTGTGGGTTTATTTTCTGAAGAAGAAATCAGAAGTCTTTGATACCTTCAGAAAATGGAAGGCCATGGTGGAAAATGAGACTGGTTTGAAAGTCAAGCGGTTGATGTCTGACAATGGAGGAGAGTACAGAGACAGTAGTTTTAGAGATTTCTGCGCAAACAATGGGATCAAGATGGAGATAACAGTTCCCATAACACCGCAGCAGAATGGCGTAGCAGAGCGCATGAACAGAACTCTGAATGAACGTGCCAAAAGCATGAGGATACATGCCGGATTGCCCAAATTTCTATGGGCTGAAGCTATCAATACTGCAGCTTACCTGATCAACCGTGGGCCCTCAGTTCCTTTGGATGGCGGAATACCAGAGGAAGCTTGGAGCAAGAAAGAAATAAACCTTTCACACTTAAGAGTGTTTGGTTGTATTTCTTATGTACACATAAACTCTCCTGAAAGAAGTAAACTTGATGCCAAGTCCAACAAATGCGTCTTTGTTGGTTACGGTGGTGATGAGTTCGGTTACCGGTTTTGGGACTACGAAAATCGAAAGATCATCAGAAGCAGAGACGTCATTTTCAATGAAAATGTGATGTACAAAGATAGGTCAACCGCAGAATCAAGTAATACCGAAGCTGAAACAAAGGAATTTGCTGAGTTCGAGGATATTTCTGGAAATGATGTTCAGATCAATCCTGAAGCAGTTCAAGAAGAACCACACACCAGAACTGAGACGCTCCTCCAGAATTCCTAAACCAACCCAACGGTATTTGCCTTCTTTGCACTATTTGTTGCTGACTGACAATGGTGAACCAGAGTGCTATGATGAAGCAATGCAGGTGGAGGATTCAGTCAAGTGGGAGTCTTCCATGAAAGATGAGATGGACTCGCTTATGTCAAATCAGACTTGGGAATTAGCTGAATTACCACCAAGCAAGAAAACGCTCCATAACAAGTGGATTTACAGGATCAAAGAAGAACATGATGGGAGAAAACGCTACAAAGCAAGATTGGTTGTCAAAGGTTTTCAGCAAAAAGAAGGTATTGACTACAATGAAATTTTCTCTCCAGTCGTAAAAACGTCTACAATCAGACTGGTGTTGAAAATTGTAGCTGCGGAGAATTTACATCTCGAGCAGTTAGATGTAAAGACAGCTTTCCTTCATGGTGATTTGGAGGAAGAGATCTATATGAGGCAGCCAGCAGGCTTCATAGAGGCAGGCAAGAAAAACCTGGTATGCAGGTTGAAGAAGAGCTTGTATGGTTTAAACAAGCTCCTAGACAGTGGTACAAGAAGTTCGATAGTTTCATGAGTAGCAGTGGTTTTACCAGATGCCAAGCAGATCATGTTGCTACAAGAGGTTCGACAATAGTTTCATTATTTATTGTTGGTTGATGACATGCTCGTTGCAGGCTCAAACATGCAAGAGATCATAAACTTGAAAAAAATTGTCGAAGCAGTTTGCTATGAAGGATCTGGGCGCTGCAAAGCAGATTTGGGATGAGGAT